TAGTTAGTATCTGTGTTTGAAAATATAAACTCATTTTTTTCACAGTGAAAGTAGGAAGCTCACAATAGTGTGAAAATGCTATGCCGTTATGAGGCCTTCGTTTTTCGAGCTAAACAGGCAAGAGTTATCCCCCTTAGATTATGACGTAATTGGTGCCAATTCAACTGGGTCCGTGTCTATTCTCAACGCAAAAGATATCAAGTACCAGTTTGCGGTAAAACAACATGGCCTAAGACACACTCCGTCGCAGTGGTGACTCAGCATAACACTATGCTGGCTGGCATCTGAGACGCTAGAATCACACACCTGTACCTACACCACGTGAAGCGGCTCTAACAAAGCATGATGACGTCATAATGTTGATCAATTGGCACCAATGACGTCATATTGCAAGGGGCATAAGCCATGGTGTTTTTGTTCTGGAAATAGAACACTTGGTAAATGTGAAAAATATAAATCGTTTTAATGCAAAAAATATGTTAATTAATTGTGATATTTCTATATTTTTGTCTATGACTCTACTAGGTTAACACTTTTATTGTGGAAAAAGTACACGAAAAATAGGTTCATTTCCTTGTGAACTTGCCCTTTAATGTGGGGGGAAAGACCGACGTGATGCAGGTGTCAGATGTTTACCACTTTGGAGAAACACACGAGCACGGGTATGGTGATGACAAACCTAGAAACATAATCGGGGCGAACCGGGATTCGAACCCACAATCATAGGTTTCTGGCGTGCCCAAGGGACGCAACTCTGCACAGTAACGGTATAGTAAGGAGGCGGACGATACATGCAATGTTGACGGTACATCGTATATGTTGACGGTAAAGGGTTCTCCATACATGTATCAGTCCATGAACAGCCTCGCGATCTATTGATTTCTCTAATGAACGGGCGCTTTCATATGTGAGGAGCTACGTTCTAAACCACAGCATAACATGACCATTAAGGCCTTGACTTGGACAGCGTGAGGCGTTTCTGTATCTCTGATGCATGGATATGTTGATGAGGGACACCTCTCGCTAGTGTAGCACCGGTGTCTGGACCAGAACATCTTGAACAAAGGTAACATCTTAAGAGAATTTTATATGTTTTATGACAATTAACCTCTAATGTCTAAAAAAATCACTTTCTTTCCTCTTGTAATTCCCCTTCTTTTAAGGGTGAAAGTCCAACCTTTTCCAGTGTTGTGTTAAGCAAATTGTATTAACTATGTCTTCTTTTTGTCTCTTAACAATGTATCCCTGGTATGCAAAATGGTTCCAACATTGTCAGCTCAAAAGAAGGAACCGTCCGAGTAAGCTTACCTCATCCCTCATTTTCCGTCGTCTGTCCGTCCGCAGTTCGCGCAGTAACGTTCTCCTTCTTTCAAAACCGATGAGGGGACTTCTAGCGCAATACCTGGAAATTTACATCTTGTATTTAGAAATGCATAAAAGTTCCATCAAATCTTTCCCTTTATCCCAAGTGATTTGCGAAACAATATATGTTGTAATATTATCTTCGTTTCTCTGTGACCCTTTTCCTTTAACGCTCAAACATTATTTCCCCTGCATATGTATGTATAGTCTGGGCTGGGGACTGGGGGGCATGGGTGGCCCAGACGTCTAAGACGCCGCGATTCGCTGTGCAGAGTTGCGTCCCTTGGGCACGCCAGAAACCTATGATTGTGGGTTCGAATCCCGGTTCGCCCCGATTATGTTTCTAGGTTTGTCAGCACCACACCCGTGCTCGTGGGTTTCACCGAAGTGGTAAACGTCTAAGACCTGCATCACTTCGGGCTTTCCTCCCACATTAAGCTGACACGCCGTGATATAACTGGAATACTGTTAAAAGCGGCGTTAAACCCAACTCACTCACTAACCACGATTCATTGTGACGAATTTCCGTACAATTCATATATTTATTTAAAGATACACGCACGCAAGTTCACGTACTCACTAGACTGATTTGACTAACATAGTAATACCCATGCCTTCTGCATGTACAACATATACAATCGATTTCGTACACAGCGTATATGGTCTACGATGAAGTAAGTAAAAGACTTGAAGTCAAGGGCTTTCAGTTCAGTGAATTGCTTGTTAAGTAATTGAGTGGACAGATTGTGTATCAAACGAGCAGCTTTTGTATGTTTAGTGAAAGTGGTTTGCTTATCGGCAAAGCATTTGAAAACACTTGTGATTGTTGAAGAAGTTCTGTGGTCTTTGTGACTTGGTGTGAAACAACCTTGCTTGTTGCCCCCTCCAGTTTTATCTATGATGAGGACTCGGCTACCTTTTTGTGAAATTGTACCCATGCCGGGGCAGAGAAAACTGAGAATTTGTCGATGCACTTTCATGTTACCGTATTCGACATAATAAGCGCACAGGGCGCTCTCAAAAATTAGAAATAGGGGGCTCTTATTAGAATATTATTTTGGAGATGAAGGGAGATGAAAGATCGTAAATTTCATGGTTTATGCTGACAGCCTGAAACGTTTATATATGACAGATATATTTTTTTCCAGAACTTATTTGCCATTAATTCAGGGTGCATAAAACAAACTTATTATGCACGAAAAAATAGACTTGTATACATTTATCAATCAGAAGGGGTGCTCATAGGGATTGTTCACTAGCCAATATATTAGCAAATATCGCCGTGGGTGCTGATTAGAGCGGGGCGCTTTTGACGTCGAATACGGTAATACAATTTCGGAATATATCAATTCTCATTTAGGAATTTATACTGACGGACTTGGGGAGGCATATCGGCCGCTGAGCAGGTCTCAATAAACCCTGCTAAAGTTACACACTGTTTATCACATGGAATGTGGTACATTTCAAGCCTAGTTTATTTGATGGTCAACATTTCCGTGTAAACAACAATCACACAACAACAATATTTGACAAAATAATACAACCGTCATTCAAGTGTCATATTAATCAATAATACATGTGCATATTCCCCTGCTCAATATCATTTCATAATCACCCCATAATGCCCCATGGTTGTTATCATTTAAGCCAGTATTGTGTGTAATAAATCATTCTTAACTTTGGTCAGATTGTTGTGTAATCCATTTTAATTGTGCGAGTTGATTTTAGGTGTGCCCCCTCACTTCACCTTCACTCGTAACGGGGGGGGGGGGGGGGGGGGCGGGGAAGGGGGGGGGGGGGGGGGGGGGGGGGGGGTCGGCACGGGTGGCCCAGTCGTCTAAGGCGCCGCGATTCGCTGTGCAGAGTTGCGTCCCTTAGGCACGCCAGAAACCTATGATTGTGGGTTCGAATCCCGGTTCGCCCCGATTATGTTTCTAGGTTTGTCAGCACCACACCCGTGCTCGTGGGTTTCACCGAAGTGGTAAACGTCTGAGACCTGCATCACTTCGGGCTTTCCTCCCACATTAAGCTGACACGCCGTGATATAACTGGAATACTGTTAAAAGCGGCGTTAAACCCAACTCACTCACTCACTCACTCGTAACGAGATCATTATTGCATCAGGATCAGAGTGGCACACCAGCAAGTAAGTCTGCCCAAGACAACTGATCCTTAGGAAACTATTTAAGTGACAAACCAATGATGTTTGCTGTGAATACAATGCCACCTCATCAGCCACGTTACACATAAAACAGATTACATTAATTGAGTTGAGGTGAAATGGGGGTTTAACGTCGCGTCCATGATTATTGCGCTTATATAGCGTGTGTGTGAGATTACATTAAGACTTGGACAGTCGCTTTGACCTTTGCCGTAACGACGGATGCTACCACAATGACATAACGTACTCACAGTTTCACAATACATTTCATTAATTAAGTTTGTACTTGTGTTTTATAATTGTTGCAGTTTCATTTGTAAAGTGGTGAAGTTCCTTTTGGTCGTCATTGTACATTGATTTCGGGGTTTGGACGAGAAATCCGTTTAATTTGAAGCTGGCGTAGGGAGAAGGCTCAGTGACGCAGGTCGTAAAAAGTTGACCACACCCCTGGCGCTCTCTCTAAACTAGGAACATAACAAAATATCAGTTTCCATGAAATGAACACAGATGATATTAATCAATAATACATGTGCATATTCCCCTGCTCAATATCATTTCGCAATCACCCCAAAACAAATATTAATATTAATGGTGTGACATCCTAATAATAAATAAATTGCTCTCCTTGTTTCTACTTCCAATTTCAGCTAAACATGAGTCCTCCTTCAGTCAAAATGAGCGTGTCACGCGTTGCACGCGAGCGGCAAACAGTGTGCACACCCGTGTTCAACGCGCTGCACATGGGTTACACATGGGTGTCGCACGCGTGGCGGACGCGTTGCGGACGCGTTGCATACGGGTTGCGTGACCCGGCTCAGATGATGAACACCTTTCGATTTAACTAAAACTTCTGTTAAGCAAACTGTGGGGGCATGGCGTGTTTGACCCGTGATATATTGACACAGTTCATGGATAGAAACATGATACATCTACCACTTTGGTTAGCCTGCACGTCCTGTAAGTTGTTATGTGACGAAATTGACGCTGCGAAACCTCTGTCTTCGTTCCAAGACTCCTTGAGAGTGGAACACCCGTAAAGATAGGGACTTTGGCCTAGTGGTAACCAGCGTCTGACATTGTTCACAGACACCATAGACTCGAACCCCTTCAAATATAGGCTTCCATCCCATAGGAACCCAGACATCACAACGGTTTGGGGTAACCATATAAGATATGGAGATTTAGATAATTCTTTCACACTGTTTATGTGTCTGTGTGTGTCTCTCTCTCTCTCCTCTTTGTTATGTCCAATTTCCTAAATGTTGCTTATAATCTTTTTTTTACTTGCAGTTAAGTCTCAGGAGAAACTCGCAAGAAATATAATGTGTATAAAATGATACGGCACAAAGTTGTCCTCTCGACAAAGGCACCTACTTGTTACGGCCATGTCTATGGAGGCTGGCAACATCAATCCTGAAAACTGTCCCGTGTTTGAGCGTGACATTTGTTGGTAGTCCTTTCGTTCAGAAGCTTCATGATGGACAGTGATAATGCAACTGTATTGTTCACAGGCACGGCAATAATAACGACGGCGATAACTGGATTAGTCAACGCATGGGGCATTATTGGAAACATCGTCATCATCTTCATCATTGCCAGAACCCCTAACATGAGAGGATTCTCTGGAGCTCTCATGATAAACCATGCTGTAGCTGACGTCATTCAGGAAAGTGTTTCACAGATTGTCGTATTATTGTTTGCTGTTGGTCCTCGAATGGTTCAACTTAACATATATCTTCGACTTGCTCTGTTTAGTCTCAGTGGCGTGGTATCTCACAGCGTAAGCGCCCTTTCAGTAAACCTGTACCTAGCTATATGCAGGCAGCAGCAGTATAAGCGCTTGGTGACATGGAAACGGGTCTTTGCCTTCATGGCTTGTTCCTGGGCCATCAACATTGCGATCAGCAGCCTGTACCATGTTGTGCCGTCATTCTACACAGTTGACCTCAACTCACGTTCAGATATCCCGTACATGGATATAACGCCCTCCAACTGTTGGTTCTATCTCCTCCTGGTTCTCAACATAGTGGTCATCCCTATTTGCACTGCAGCGACTTGCTACCTGAGAATTCGGTCCTTCATGAAATGTCCTACCATGTCCAGCATGGGTCCTAACAACATGAATAAAGTGAAGCTGTCTCAGATGATCCACATCATCACCATCATCTACTTCCTCACCTTCATCCCCGTCTTTATCATCATGTCCGCCAAGGTTCAGATGCAAGGCGTCAAGACAGTTATCTGGGCAGTTAACTCTTCCTATTACATCATCAAGCTGTTTCTTTACCTCAAGCTGTACAAACCTTTCAGAGAGACGGCGAAGGCTATATGCTGCAACTCCTGTCAAAACCGCCTAGGTCCCACACAGCAGGGACAAGATGCCATTGTCTAAACTACTGGGAACGCCTTTGTTGACCATCATTGTGAAACACAGTGACATCTAGTACCTATTGGTGGTTTATCCCTACTTGTGCCTATCTCCAGTTAAACAGTGATAAAACGGAATTCCTTGTATTCAGCAACAAACTGTCGAGGAACAAATTCTCACTTCCAGCGCTTGAAATCGGAGGACATGTCATCAAACCAAGAAAGGAGGCACGGAATCTTGGAGTTGTGTTTGACTCTTCTCTGAGTGCTGAGTCCCACGTAAACAAAGTGTGCCAGAAGGCCTAGGCCAACATGAGAAACATCAGCCAGATCCGTACGTTCATTACCACAAAGACCGCTGCAACATCAGTACAGGCATGTGTAAGTTCACATCTTGACTATTATAATGCTTTCCCTCTTGGCCTACCACAACATCTCTTAGCAAAGCTCCAGCGCACCCAGAACTGCGCTGCACGGCTAGTCACAAAGACGAAACGACGAGATCACATGACACCAATATTAAAGGACCTTCACTGGCTCAAGGTGGTGGACCGTATCAAGTACAAGGTCCTCACATTGATCTTCAAAGCAAGACAAGGTCTTGCACCAGCATATGACAAGAACATGGTTTGTGAGTATGAACCTAGACGCAATCTGGTTCAGGTAATCAAAACTTACTGTGTATACCCACGTCACGAACAACCAGATTTGGTGATCGCTGCTTTGCACGAGCAGCTTCAATGTTGTGGAACAGCCTACCACTTGACATCAGAAGTCAAACTGAAGACCTACCTCTACAGAAACACTTACTTGCAGTAGAACCCCATCTGTGTTTGGGTCCAGTATTTACTGTTGTTTTTGCGTACTGATGTCCAGTAATTACTGTTGTTTTTGCGTACTGGTGTCTAGTAATTACTGTTGTTTTTGTGTACTGGTGACCAGTAATTACTGTTGTTTTTGCGTACTGGTGTCCAGTAATTAATGTTATTTGCGTACTGGTGTCCAGTAATTACTGTTGTTTTTGCGTACTGGTGTCCAGATATTACTGTTGCTTTTGCGTACTGGTGTCCAGTAACTACTGTTGTTTTTGCGTACTGGTGTCCAGTAATCACTGTTGTTTTTGCGTACTGGTGTCCAGTAATTACTGTTGTTTTTGCGTACTGGTGTCCAGTAATTACTGTTGTTTTTGCGTACTGGTGTCCAGTAATTACTGTTGTTTTTGCGTACTGGTGTCTGGTTACTACTAGTGACGTATTATACTGATGTCTGATACGTATTTGTGTTAACTAACTACTGGTGTTCAACAAATATTATTACTTTGTATTGTTTAGCTACTAGTGTGTAACTGGTAACTGCTGATGACCAGATAAACTGGAATCCTGTGTATGTTGATGTCTTGTTTCTTCATGTGTTTGGGGCGGTCGGGTAGCCGAGTGGTTAAAGCGTTCGCTCGTCACGCCGAAGACCCGGGTTCGATTCCCGACATGGGTACAATGTGTGAAGCCCATGTCTGGTGCCCCCCGCCGTGATATTGCTGGAATATTGCTAAAAGCGGCGTAAAACCATACTCAGTCATTCAGTCAGTCTTCATGTGTTTAGTATGAACCCTTGGTTAGTACATACTAATGACTAGTTTACTCCAGCACATTAATTATTCGCTGGAATATATCGGTTCATACTAAAGGCAAGTATCCACCTGTGGCCATTATCCGCTGATCGGTAATTTAGTATTGTTGCTAGTGTATCCTTGTTGCTAGTATCTACTTTTGTGTGTGGCTAGTGGCTAATTTATGCTATTGTGTTTGCTTGGCGTTTGACGCTGACATCAGTTGAGTCGACGTGGCAGCGTAATGTTGAGTGAAAGCCAGAAATGATGCAGGTTTTACCACACTGTATGAGCATGATAATGGCAAACCTAGAAACATCAGGGCGAACCTGACATTCGAACCCACCATCATAGGTTTCTGGCGCGTGTAAGGGAAGCAACTCTACACAATGAATTGCAGCGCCTTAAACGACTGGTCCAAACCTGCCGCAACCATCGTCTGGTATCCACTGGCGTCTAGTATGTGATAATTTATACCTTCAACTGGTGGATACTTTTTAAGGTTTCCCGAGTATATCTAACCTCTTGACATATGTTGACATATTTGATATCAGAGCATTCGGGAGTGATATTCTATGTATCGTGCGAAATCTTTTCTCCTAACTTTTTCAGTTTGCAAACGGTAATAACTCGTGTCCTGAGTGTAAAGAGAACGGATGACCAGTTTCAATGGCAATACAGTTGCATTATCTTCTATGGAAGACAGTTTTAGATTATATATATATTGGTGGCTAATATCTATTGGAGAAAACACTTTCCCTCGGTTTTGGTAGACAGAGCATGCCCTGGGGAGAGGGAAAAACCAAGGGGGCGAAGGCCCCGCGGTTTTTCCCGACCCCCAGGGCATGCTTGCCTTTTTTTATTGCAACTACCACGGATTACGAATGCCATAACTTGCACGTGCATTTTACTTTACTGTTTTCCTCCATGACATTTTTTAACAAGTGTGAAAACAATGCCGTTTAAGACATTGCAATTGGACAATGGCTGCGTTTTGACGCACCGTTTGTCGAATATCAGGCCACCAAGATTTTCCAATTAACATATATCCAATTTATATACCGGATTTCTGGTGAAGTCAGGTTCAGTGAACCTCATACTACCTGTGCGTTTCTTTTTTTGAAGAGTGTAATACCGTCTCTGTATTTAAATCTCGTCAATCTGTGTATGCGAACGGACAGGTTGTCCTCACTGCTGCTGGTGTGTTTCTATGTACCTGTTAGACTGATCATTACTTACGTTAATCCTCAATACTTGTTATGGGGTTTGTTTCTGGGTATTTTCAATTGTATGATCTGAGTGGTTTGTTTCTATTTACCTGTTAGACTGATCACTACTTACGTTAATCCTCAATACTTGTTATGGGGTTTGTTTCTGGGTATTTTCAATTGTATGATCTGAGTGGTTTGTTTCTATTTACCTGTTAGACTGATCACTACTTACGTTAATCCTCAATACTTGTTATGAGGTTTGTTTCTGGGTATTTTCAATTGTATGATCTGAGTGGTTTTATTGTTTGTTTAAATTGGTTGGTTTGTTGTTTAACGCCACAATATTTAGTTTTATGACGTGTATACATTATGTTTTGTGTCAGCAATAAAACGGACTATTTCCACCAATACCGTGTTCCCCATTATTTGCAACTGGTATGTCTGACAACAGGCATGTCTGACGACTGGTATGTCTGACAACAGGCATGTCTGACAAATGGCATATAAGAAAACCCGTGGTTAGTCACGTGATCTATTGTTTAATGACAAAAATTATCTAGAACTCTATGGTTACACTACAAGTCACTAATGTTCGCATTTCTTTCTGACTATGCACCCATTCCTTCTGATTTTTCATATGGTTGAATAACGATATAACTTAATTCAACTTCAGTGCATGAATGACCAGATTGTTTAATACATGTATCTAAATACGTTTTGCCAGGGCTATGCTAAAAATGTTCCCAATCAGACATTTTGAGACATCTCCTGAGACCGACAGTGGGTGCCCGGGTAGGATGGGGTAATAGGGGTCGGGTACCCGGGTAGGATGGGGTAATAGGGGGTGGGTACCCGGGTAGGATGGGGTAATAGGGGGTGGGTACCCGGGTAGGATGGGGTAATAGGGGGGTGGGTACCCGGGTAGGATGAAGTAATAGGGGGTGGGTACCCGGGTAGGATGGGGTAATAGGGGGTGGGTACCCGGGTAGGATGGGGTAATAGGGGGGTGGGTACCCGGGTAGGATGGGGTAATAGGGGGGTGGGTACCCGGGTAGGATGGGGTAATAGGGGGTGGGTACCCGGGTAGGATGGGGTAATAGGGGGGTGGGTACCCGGGTAGGATGAAGTAATAGGGGGTGGGTACCCGGGTAGGATGGGGTAATAGGGGGTGGGTACCCGGGTAGGATGGGGTAATAGGGGGGTGGGTACCCGGGTAGGATGGGGTAATAGGGGGTGGGTACCCGGGTAGGATGGGGTAATAGGGGGGTGGGTACCCGGGTAGGATGGGGTAATAGGGGGTGGGTACCCGGGTAGGATGGGGTAATAGGGGGTTGGGTACCCGGGTAGGATGGGGTAATAGGGGGGTGGGTACCCGGGTAGGGTCGGGTAATACGGGTGGGGGTACCCGGGTAGTAAATTTGGACTCGTCCCTGCCCTAGTGTAAATCACATATTGCACCACAGATACACTGCAAAAAAATATATATTTTTAATAATAACATGTTTTTTATTTGTATTGTTTAGTATGTCACAAAATTATACATAACTATGTCTTAGTAGAGATTGAGGGAGTATTGTTTAATGCCGGATCAGCAATCGTGTAGCGAATGTTCCCTAGAACTTTGATTCACATCTGAATTGAATGAAGATTGGCGTCCAGTTATCTTGCAAAATGTTCTCTTTATTTGTTAAATGCCACACACATGAATCCTGTTCACTTCCCTAAGTATGGTTAAATTTGTCTTTGAACTGTAAACAGATTAGCATCTAGAGCTTGATTTCATTGAATGTGTCAATGCTACCATACTGCTTCACTATAACGCGAGTGCGTGCATATTTGAATGTGCGACGTGCTTGTGTGGTAGTTCACTAGGCATGGTGGTTTCCAATAATGCTTGGGGTAACGGAACGAGGGAAAGAAGGGGAGGTATCTGTAAAGATGTTAATGCATTGATACTTCTCCAGACCTTCAGGCAAGCTGCGTATTTGTATGTCACCATGACCCATTTACTTTTGAGTTGCTTGCGTACAAATACGTATGAGTGAGTTAGTTGGGTTTAACGCCGCTTTTAACAGTTTTCCAGTTATATCAAGGCATGTCAGCTGAATGTGGGAGGAAAGCCCGAAGTGATGCAGGTCTTAGACGTTAACCACTTCAGTGAAACCCACGAGCACGGGTATGGTGCTGACAAACCTAGAAACATAATCGGGGCGAACCGGGATTCAAACCCACAATCATAGGTTTCTAGCGTGCCAAAGGGACGCAACTCTGCACAGCGAATCGCGGCGCCTTAGACGATTGGGCCACCCGTGCCCCCCAAATACGTATGAAGAAATTAGATAACCCAATAGTATAACAACACTGTGCTACGATGGCCCATAAGGGACAGGGAGTCTGTTTTTCAATATTTTGATATTTCACTTACTTTTATCGTAACCTTTTGCAAATCAATCTCGATCTCAGCAGGGGGCACGGATTGGCCCAGTCGTCTGAGGCGCCGCGATTCGCTGTGCAGAGTTTTGTCCCTTGGGCACGCCAGAAACCTATGATTGTGGGTTCGAATCCCGGTTCGCCCCGATTATGTTTCTAGGTTTGTCAGCACCACACCCGTGCTCGTGGGTTTCACCGAAGTGGTAAACGTCTGAGACCTCCATCACTTCGTGCTTTCCTCCCACATTAAGCTGACACGCCGTGATATAACTGGAATACTGTTAAAAGCGGCGTTAAACCCAACTCACTCACTCACTCACTCGTAACGAGATCATTATTGCATCAGGATCAGAGTGGCACACCAGCAAGTAAGTCTGCCCAAGACAACTGATCCTTAGGAAACTATTTAAGTGACAAACCAATGATGTTTGCTGTGAATACAATGCCACCTCATCAGCCACGTTACACATAAAACAGATTACATTAATTGAGTTGAGGTGAAATGGGGTTTAACGTCGCGTCCATGATTATTGCGCTTATATAGCGTGTGTGTGAGATTACATTAAGACTTGGACAGTCGCTTTGACCTTTGCCGTAACGACGGATGCTACCACAATGACATAACGTACTCACAGTTTCACAATACATTTCATTAATTAAGTTTGTACTTGTGTTTTATAATTGTTGCAGTTTCATTTGTAAAGTGGTGAAGTTCCTTTTGGCCGTCATTGTACATGGATTTCGGGGTTTGGACGAGAAATCCGTTTAATTTGAAGCTGGCGTAGGGAGAAGGCTCAGTGACGCAGGTCGTAAAAAGTTGACCACACCCCTGGCGCTCTCTCTAAACTAGGAACATAACAAAATATCAGTTTCCATGAAATGAACACAGATGATATTAATCAATAATACATGTGCATATTCCCCTGCTCAATATCATTTCGCAATCACCCCAAAACAAATATTAATATTAATGGTGTGACATCCTAATAATAAATTAATTGCTCTCCTTGTTTCTACTTCCAATTTCAGCTAAACATGAGTCCTCCTTCAGTCAAAATGAGCGTGTCACGCGTTGCACGCGAGCGGCAAACAGTGTGCACACCCGTGTTCAACGCGCTGCACATGGGTTGCACATGGGTGTCGCACGCGTGGCGGACGCGTTGCGGACGCGTTGCATACGGGTTGCGTGACCCGGCTCAGATGATGAACACCTTTCGATTTAACTAAAACTTCTGTTAAGCAAACTGTGGGGGCATGGCGTGTTTGACCCGTGATATATTGACACAGTTCATGGATAGAAACATGATACATCTACCACTTTGGTTGGCCTGAAAGTCCTGTAAGTTGTTATGTGACGAAATTGACGCTGCGAAACCTCTGTCTTCGTTCCAAGACTCCTTGAGAGTGGAACACCCGTAAAGATAGGGACTTTGGCCTAGTGGTAACCAGCGTCTGACATTGTTCGCAGACACCTTAGACTCGAACCCCTTCAAATATAGGCTTCCATCCCATAGGAACCCAGACATCACAACGGTTAGGGGTAACCATATAAGATATGGAGATTTAGATAATTCTTTCACACTGTTTATGTGTCTGTGTGTGTCTCTCTCTCTCTCCTCTTTGTTATGTCCAATTTCCTAAATGTTGCTTATAATCTTTTTTTTACTTGCAGTTAAGTCTCAGGAGAAACTCGCAAGAAATATAATGTGTATAAAATGATACGGCACAAAGTTGTCCTCTCGACAAAGGCACCTACTTGTTACGGCCATGTCTATGGAGGCTGGCAACATCAATCCTGAAAACTGTCCCGTGTTTGAGCGTGACATTTGTTGGTATTCCTTTCGTTCAGAAGCTTCATGATGGACAATGATAATGCAACTGTATTGTTCACAGGCACGGCAATAATAACGACGGCGATAACTGGATTAGTCAACGCATGGGGCATTATTGGAAACATCGTCATCATCTTCATCATTGCCAGAACCCCTAACATGAGAGGATTCTCTGGAGCTCTCATGATAAACCATGCTGTAGCTGACGTCATTCAGGAAAGTGTTTCACAGATTGTCGTATTATTGTTTGCTGTTGGTCCTCGAATGGTTCAACTTAACATATATCTTCGACTTGCTCTGTTTAGTCTCAGTGGCGTGGTATCTCACAGCGTAAGCGCCCTTTCAGTAAACCTGTACCTAGCTATATGCAGGCAGCAGCAGTATAAGCGCTTGGTGACATGGAAACGGGTCTTTGCCTTCATGGCTTGTTCCTGGGCCATCAACATTGCGATCAGCAGCCTGTACCATGTTGTGCCGTCATTCTACACAGTTGACCTCAACTCACGTTCAGATATCCCGTACATGGATATAACGCCCTCCAACTGTTGGTTCTATCTCCTCCTGGTTCTCAACATAGTGATCATCCCTATTTGCACTGCAGCGACTTGCTACCTGAGAATTCGGTCCTTCATGAAATGTCCTACCATGTCCAGCATGGGTCCAAACAACATGAATAAAGTGAAGCTGTCTCAGATGATCCACATCATCACCATCATCTACTTCCTCACCTTCATCCCCGTCTTTATCATCATGTCCGCCAAGGTTCAGATGCAAGGCGTCAAGACAGTTATCTGGGCAGTTAACTCTTCCTATTACATCATCAAGCTGTTTCTTTACCTCAAGCTGTACAAACCTTTCAGAGAGACGGCGAAGGCTATATGCTGCAACTCCTGTCAAAACCGCGTAGGTCCCACACAGCAGGGACAAGATGCCATTGTCTAAACTACTGGGAACGCCTTTGTTGACCATCATTGTGAAACACAGTGACATCTAGTACCTATTGGTGGTTTACCCCTACTTGTGGCTTATCTCCAGTTAAACAGTGATAAATCGGAATTCCTTGTATTCAGCAACAAACTGTCGAGGAACAAATTCTCACTTCCAGCGCTTGAAATCGGAGGACATGTCATCAAACCAAGAAAGGAGGCACGGAATCTTGGAGTTGTGTTTGACTCTTCTCTGAGTGCTGAGTCCCACGTAAACAAAGTGTGCCAGAAGGCCTAGGCCAACATGAGAAACATCAGCCAGATCCGTACGTTCATTACCACAAAGACCGCTGCAACATCAGTACAGGCATGTGTAAGTTCACATCTTGACTATTATAATGCTTTCCCTCTTGGCCTACCACAACATCTCTTAGCAAAGCTCCAGCGCACCCAGAACTGCGCTGCACGGCTAGTCACAAAGACGAAACGACGAGATCACATGACACCAATATTAAAGGACCTTCACTGGCTCAAGGTGGTGGACCGTATCAAGTACAAGGTCCTCACATTGATCTTCAAAGCAAGACAAGGTCTTGCACCAGCATATGACAAGAACATGGTTTGTGAGTATGAACCTAGACGCAATCTGGTTCAGGTAATCAAAACTTACTGTGTATACCCACGTCACGAACAACCAGATTTGGTGATCGCTGCTTTGCACGAGCAGCTTCAATGTTGTGGAACAGCCTACCACTTGACATCAGAAGTCTCCCAGACCTGAGCAGCTTCCGGAGCAGACTGAAGACCTACCTCTACAGAAACACTTACTTGCAGTAGAACCCCATCTGTGTTTGGGTCCAGTAATTACTGTTGTTTTTGCGTACTGGTGTCCAGTAATCACTGTTGGTTTGCGTACTGGTGTCCAGTAATTACTGTTGTTTTTGCGTACGGGTGTCCAGTTATTTACTGTTGTTTTTGCGTACTGGTGTCCAGTTATTTACTGTTGTTTTTGCGTACTGGTGTCCAGTAACTACTGTTGTTTTTGCGTACTGGTGTCCAGTTATTACTGTTGTTTTTGCGTACTGGTGACAGTAATTACTGTTGTTTTTGCGTACTGGTGTCTAGTAATTACTGTTGTTTTTGCGTACTGGTGTCCAGTAATTACTGTTGTTTTTGCGTACTGGTGTCCAGTAATTACTGTTGTTTTTGCGTACTGGTGTCTGGTTACTACTAGTGACGTATTATACTGATGTCTGATACGTATTTGTGTTAACTAACTACTGGTGTTCAACAAATATTATTACTTTGTATTGTTTAGCTACTAGTGTGTAACTGGTAACTGCTGATGACTGATATAAACTGGAATCCTGTGTATGTTGATGTCTTGTTTCTTCATGTGTTTGGGGCGGTCGGGTAGCCGAGTGGTTAAAGCGTTCGCTCGTCACGCCGAAGACCCGGGTTCGATTCCCGACATGGGTACAATGTGTGAAGCCCATGTCTGGTGCCCCCCGCCGTGATATTGCTGGAATATTGCTAAAAGCGGCGTAAAACCATACTCAGTCATTCAGTCAGTCTTCATGTGTTTAGTATGAACCCTTGGTTAGTACATACTAATGACTAGTTTACTCCAGCACATTAATTATTCGCTGGAATATATCGGTTCATACTAAAGGCAAGTATCCACCTGTGGCCATTATCCGCTGATCGGTAATTTAGTATTGTTGCTAGTGTATCCTTGTTGCTAGTATCTACTTTTGTGTGTGGCTAGTGGCTAATTTATGCTATTGTGTTTGCTTGGCGTTTGACGCTGACATCAGTTGAGTCGACGTGGCAGCGTAATGTTGAGTGAAAGCCAGAAATGATGCAGGTTTTACCACACTGTATGAGCATGATAATGGCAAACCTAGAAACATCAGGGCGAACCTGACATTCGAACCCACCATCATAGGTTTCTGGCGCGTGTAAGGGAAGCAACTCTACACAATGAATTGCAGCGCCTTAAACGACTGGTCCAAACCTGCCGCAACCATCGTCTGGTATCCACTGGCGTCTAGTATGTGATAATTTTTACCTTCAACTGGTGGATACTTTTTAAGGTTTCCCGAGTATATCTAACCTCTTGACATATGTTGACATATTTGATATCAGGGCATTCGGGAGTGATATTCTATGTATCGTGCGAAATCTTTTCTCCTAACTTTTTCAGTTTGCAAACGGTAATAACTCGTGTCCTGAGTGTAAAGAGAACGGATGACCAGTTTCAATGGTAATACAGTTGCATTATCTTCTATGGAAGACAGTTTTAGATTATATATATATTGGTGGCTAATATCTATTGGAGAAAACACTTTCCCTCGGTTTTGGTAGACAGAGCATGCCCTGGGGAGAGGGAAAAACCAAGGGGGCGAAGGCCCCGCGGTTTTTCCCGACCCCCAGGGCATGCTTGCCTTTTTTTATTGCAACTACCACGGATTACGAATGCCATAACTTGCACGTGCATTTTACTTTACTGTTTTCCTCCATGACATTTTTTAACAAGTGTGAAAACAATGCCGTTTAAGACATTGCAATTGGACAATGGCTGCGTTTTGAGGCACCGTTTGTCGAATATCAGGCCACCAAGATTTTCCAATAACATATATCCAATTTATATACCGGATTTCTGGTGAAGTCAGGTTCAGTGAACCTCATACTACCTGTGCGTTTCTTTTTTTGAAGAGTGTAATACCGTCTCTGTATTTAAATCTCGTCAATCTGTGTATGCGAACTGACAGGTTGTCCTCACTGCTGCTGGTGTGTTTCTATGTACCTGTTAGACTGATCATTACTTACGTTAATCCTCAATACTTGTTATGGGGTTTGTTTCTGGGTATTTTCAATTGTATGATCTGAGTGGTTTGTTTCTATTTACCTGTTAGACTGATCACTACTTACGTTAATCCTCAATACTTGTTATGGGGTTTGTTTCTGGGTATTTTCAATTGTATGATCTGAGTGGTTTGTTTCTATTTACCTGTTAGACTGATCACTACTTACGTTAATCCTCAATACTTGTTATGGGGTTTGTTTCTGGGTATTTTCAATTGTATGATCTGAGTGGTTTTATTGTTTGTTTAAATTGGTTAGTTTGTTGTTTAACGCCACAATATTTAGTTTTATGACGTGTATACATTATGTTTTGTGTCAGCAATAAAACGGACTATTTCCACCAATACCGTGTTCCCCATTATTTGCAACTGGTATGTCTGACAACAGGCATGTCTGACGACTGGTATGTCTGACAACAGGCATGTCTGACAAATGGCATATATGAAAACCCGTGGTTAGTCACGTGATCTATTGTTTAATGACAAAAATTATCTAGAACTCTATGGTTACACTACAAGTCACTAGTGTTCGCATTTCTTTCTGACTATGCACCCATTCCTTCTGATTTTTCATATGGTTGAATAACGATATAACTTAATTCAACTTCAGTGTATGAATGACTAGATTGTTTAATACATGTATCTAAATATGTTTTGCCAGGGTTATGCTAAAAATGTTGCCAATCAGACATTTTGAGACATCTCCTGAGACCGACAGTGGGTGCCCGGGTAGGATGGGGTAATAGGGGTCGGGTACCCGGGTAGGATGGGGTAATAGGGGGTGGGTACCCGGGTAGGATGGGGTAATAGGGGGTGGGTACCCGGGTAGGATGGGGTAATAGGGGGTGGGTACCCGGGTAGGATGGGGTAATAGGGGGTTGGGTACCCGGGTAGGATGGGGTAATAGGGGGTGGGTACCCGGGTAGGATTGGGTAATAGGGGGGTGGGTACCCGGGTAGGATGGGGTAATAGGGGGGTGGGTACCCGGGTAGGATGGGGTAATAGGGGGTGGGTACCCGGGTAGGATGGGGTAATAGGGGGGTGGGTACCCGGGTAGGATGGGGTAATAGGGGGTGGGTACCCGGGTAGGATGGGGTAATAGGGGGTGGGTACCCGGGTAGGATGGGGTAATAGGGGGTTGGGTACCCGGGTAGGATGGGGTAATAGGGGGTGGGTACCCGGGTAGGATTGGGTAATAGGGGGGTGGGTACCCGGGTAGGATGGGGTAATAGGGGGTGGGTACCCGGGTAGGATGGGGTAATAGGGGGTGGGTACCCGGGTAGGATGGGGTAATAGGGGGGTGGGTACCCGGGTAGGGTCGGGTAATACGGGTGGGGGTACCCGGGTAGTAAATTTGGACTCGTCCCTGCCCTAGTGTAAATCACATATTGCACCACAGATACACTGCAAAAAAATATATTTTTTTAATAATAACATGTTTTTTATTTGTATTGTTTAGTATGTCACAAAATTATACATAACTATGTCTTAGTAGAGATTGAGGGAATATTGTTTAATGCCGGATCAGCAATCGTGTAGCGAATGTTCCCTAGAACTTTGATTCACATCTGAATTGAATGAAGATTGGCGTCCAGTTATCTTGCAAAATGTTCTCTTTATTTGTTAAATGCCACACACATGAATCCTGTTCACTTCCCTAAGTATGGTTAAATTTGTCTTTGAACTGTAAACAGATTAGCATCTAGAGCTTGATTTCATTGAATGTGTCAATGCTACCATACTGCTTCACTATAACGCGAGTGCGTGCATATTTGAATGTGCGACGTGCTTGTGTGGTAGTTCACTAGGCATGGTGGTTTCCAATAATGCTTGGGGTAACGGAACGAGGGAAAGAAGGGGAGGTATCTGTAAAGATGTTAATGCATTGATACTTCTCCAGACCTTCAGGCAAGCTGCGTATTTGTATGTCACCATGACCCATTTACTTTTGAGTTGCTTGCGTACAAATACGTATGAGTGAGTTAGTTGGGTTTAACGCCGCTTTTAACAGTTTTCCAGTTATATCAAGGCATGTCAGCTGAATGTGGGAGGAAAGCCCGAAGTGATGCAGGTCTTAGACGTTAACCACTTCAGTGAAACCCACGAGCACGGGTATGGTGCTGACAAACCTAGAAACATAATCGGGGCG